GTGGTCTACAAAGCTTCTTCCTTCCTCCATAACTACCTGGAACATGTTTGCTGCACACCCTGTTTGAAAACAGGGGCTGGACTAGATGGACAAGCTGCAATAATATTTCTATAAGGTCCAAAGAAAGTATAATTTAGATTTGATTGCCTTGACATCTGTACTTATTTGTTAGCAACTGATTGGCCACCTATGGAAGGTTCACTGATCACTAGAACTAACTCCTGTTCTTGCTAGGAAGCAAGTACAGTATCTTCTTTTTCAACTCAGATGACCTGATGTCACACAATAAGATAAACTGTTCTAAGTTGCCAAAGTGCTTTCTACATGGGACAAACAAGAATGTGAAATTAGGAATGGCAACCTGAAGAAACTAGTTTCAGAACACTTCAATTTCCCAGGTCATTCCATCAGGGATTTCAAAGCGAGACTTGAGAGGGAAGCAGCAAAAATTGGCTACATAAAGAACTTCCAGTATATCAGGCTTTAGTAAAGGCCCTGATCAAAGATCAAAGCTTATTTGAGAACTACATATATTTTTGTAATGCCTTAAGGGTATAAAATAGTTGTCACCCTTGAAAGGCTCTTACTTCTGTCTCATAAACAACTCCTAGCATGCTTGTGACAGCCAAGTCTACTTAGCTTATCATCCTGGCTAGGATCTGCTAATTACCAATTTGATAGTCCTATTCCTATGTTAACGAACTATTGTCACTTTGTCCATTATCTGCATCCCTACCCAAACATAAATGTCACCGCTATGGAACAAATATAGGGGCCATATATTTGTATTTCTTATGGATTTTTGTCCACAAAAACTCAGAGCAAGATAATTTAAAATACTACATTATTCTGCCTTCTTCCCTCCCCCCCCCTTTGCCAACATCAAATGGCCAAGAATGTTGCTATCTTGAGAGACAGACAGTATTTCTGCTGTTCTTTTCACATCTTCTATGTTTCAAAACAAAACAAATACTGTAAACCATAAACTATAACCACATTGATATTATTTCTAATCAACAGCACTACACTGTTAAGGAATCAATGAATCAACACTAAGAATAGGGAATGGCACCAGCCTTTCACAAAATTACAAATTCATGAACCACAATGTGGAATCGCTACAGTCTTGCTGGTGAAAACTTGCCGGTGAAATCAACTATGGTTTACTAGGGGAGTAGCTGAAAGATTCCCTGTAAGATTCATTCTGAATGCAAAACAAAAGATCTTTCCAAGCAGGCCTAAGCACAGACCTCAAGATCTCCCATAGCATCAAATGGGCACAAAAACATGCATTTTCTTTTACTACTATTAAGATAAAACATAAATCAGCCCTTCTTCCCTCAACAGGCTATTATTTCCAGTGATTTTCCTTTCCCACTGCATTTTCCCCTGCTTCATGAAAACTTGCTCTGAAGGGCCAGGAGACCCACCAAAAAAGTACAGGGATGGTGAAAACTCCTGCAGGGGACATGAATTAGCCCCCTTCCAAAAAGAAACCAACCAAAAAAAAATGATTGTTGTGGGTTTTTTGGGCTCTTTGGACGTGTTCTGAAGGTTGTTCTTCCTAACGTTTCGCCAGTCTCTGTGGCTGGCATCTTCAGAGGATAGCACTCTGTGCTCTGGAGCTATCCCGAAAAACCCACAACAACCATTGGATCCCGGCCGTGAAAGCCGTCATGAATAGAAGAAGAAGAAGAAGAAGAAGAAGAAGAAGAAGAAGAAGAAGAAGAAGAAGAAGAAGAAGAAGTAGAAGAAAACTGCTCTTGCACCACTGATTCCAGACTGCAAATGAAAGTGTTCCTGTTCATACAACACAGTGTAACTCATATATATATATATGTGCAACTCAGTTAGATCTCACCTTTCTTCCAAGGAGCTCAATGGAGCATACATGGTGGTTCTTCATCCCACTCTGTCTGCACAACTGAGTCAGGTAGATCAAGCTGAGAGAGTCTAACTGGCCCAAAGTAACTAGTACACTTAATGGCCAGGTGGGGATTTAAACCCAGGTCTCCCAAGTCCTAGTCTAACAACTCCATACACTGGCTTTCTGAACTCTTTAAAGGAAAAGTAGAATATATATCAAAATAGCGATTAAAATACAAGTATCTCAGACTCTTTTGCTATTGTTTATATAAAATGCTTTCTTTGGATGCCCCTATGGAATGTTCAGGAAATGGAAGTTATAAATCTAAATAATAAGATATGGAATTGGTAAAGTCACTACTCAAAGACCAGCAAAGATCAATACACACACAACAGATCTGGTGGAGTAGGAGAGAAAAATAACAGGGATTTAACTGCTTATTAAACAGAGATTTAATAAGCAGTTAGTATGCCTGTCACACAGGGCAATATGAAAGCATAATATCGAGACAAATTCTACCACCCTATTTTTAAGGGAAAGTATGAACTCAGGAACACATTCTCAAGTTATGAAATGCATTGGGATTCACATTGTAGATCATTATGTAAAAAGTCAACAGATTAGTCCACAAATCTGTTCTGAAACACAAGCATCAACAGGTATAAACATTTCTATCACCAAAGTCTTATTTTACTCATGTTCAATCAAATGTATTGAAGAATACATGTTTAACTTGGGTGTGCCTCGTTCTCACACATCTGAAAGTGCGCAGAACTGGCCACATGTTTGCTTTAAAACCAGAACAGATAAGGAGATTCCAAACCAGAAATGCGTTCATTAAAGAAATCTGTCAATGCTTTTAACACTTTTCATATTTTGAAGTACTATCTGCCAACATTTTCAGCAGCATATTTGTAAATCTACTGTTAATGTGACATATATGCAATATTTTATATGAGAACAATCTCTGAATTAATCTCTAGGGGAAAAGACACAACATAACATGCATTGAATAAGTAAATGCAAAAAAGGAAAAACATATACTTCATAAAAATAACATTGTTTATCCTGCAGATAATCACACACAATAGGCTGTACTGATTTCAACAGGATGTAGGAATGGAATCTTAGTAGCTAAAGACTGGCACCCCAGAAATGTGATACATGCCTAAGAGAGAAAGCCTCAGACTGAATCAGCCTTTTCTTTCCTTTCCACTATGGCATTCTCATACTGCTTTAGAAATAAGCTACAGTGGGGTCTTGACTTGAGAACTTAATCCGTATTGGAAAGCGGTTCTCAAGTCAAAAAGTTCTCAAGTCAAATCTGCATTTCCCATAGGAATGCATTGAAAACCATTTGATCCGTATCTGCTCTTTTCCGTCCATAGAAACTAATGGGAAGCTGCTATTCTGCCTTCGACTACTAGAGGGAGATATTTTGTTTCGTTTTTTTTCTTAGGTCAAGAAAGGTTCAGGGAGGGCAGGGAAAATACAGTCCAGGCAGTACCATACCAGGCAGTCTGACGACTGTCTCCCAATCCACTCTCTAAACCAGTGGTGTCGAACTGTGGCCCTCCAGATGTTCTTGGACTTCAACTCCCAGAAGCCTTCACCACCACCTCTGCTGGCCAGGATTTCTGGGAGTTGAAGGCCAAGAACATCTGGAGGGCCACAGTTTGACACCACTGCTCTAAACGCTGGGAGGAGTGAGGAAGCAGACAGGCACCCTTTTCACTGGCCAACAGTTAACTGAAAGTTCAAATTTTGCACTTTCCCAGCCTCCCACGTGGTTTTTTTTTCAGTTCTTAACTCAAATCTAAGTATGTAAGTCAAGTCAATATTTTCCTATGAGAGTGGTTCTTAAGTCAAAATGTTCTTAACTCAAGCCGTTCTTAAGTCAAGACCCCACTGTATTCCATTTCAAAATATTTTAAGACTCCTTCTGTATCAAACACTACAAGCAAAGTTCCAGTTACACATAGAGCGCACCATTCATAACCTATGCAGACATCGTGTCTACAGGCAGAGAGATCCCCACAAAACTTATCCATGTTCCTGTTTCAGCACATGTACAGACTGAGGAGTCCAATAAATGGGAAGTCTGCACATGCCACACATATACCCATCTACTCTTCCTCCTTCTACTCAGTCAAGTTACATAAGCTTTCAAATTCAAGTAGATTTATTGAATAAATGAACTGATGGGTATGCAACAGGTGCACCACTCTCCATAATGCTCTGTTCTTCATATTGTTCTGCTTGAGGATGCTTGTCATGTTTGGCAGGAGTGGACTCTGTTAACTCCTATATAGAGAATCATCTTGAGACAGAGAAGGATCATCGCAATGGATTTTTACTGCACACATACAACTTCAGTTTAGTTCCTGATCAAACTGATTACATTTTAATTTATCTAGCCAGTGCACAAAAGACTGGCTGTTTAGAATGAACCCGGAGGAAAATTATGAAATTTTTATGAGCTATCTTACTTTTTAAGCAGAAAGAAACAACAAATATTCTCATGGATCGATGATTTGCTTTCACAGTAGATTTTTATGTTTTATTCTTATTTATTTGGAGTGAATTAAACATGCTGCCTAAGGATTTATTTATTTATTTATTTTTATTTATTAAAATTATATGCCGCCCACTCTACCCAAAGGTCTCTGGGTGGCTTACAACAATTATTAAGAACAGCTCCATTTGCTAAATTTTGCTTCTACTTGAGAACAGAAATCCAAGATAAGAACAGGTAAAAAAACCTTTCCTGCTCTTTTTTTAACCTTAGGTCATCTTAGGTTAAAAAAAATTCTCCCCCTAGTGGTAGAGTACGTATAAACCAGCTTTGCATTAGTTCCTATGGGAACTAATGCTTCAATGTACGAAAGCACCTCTACATAACAAAAAAAAACAGCCAGAACGGATTAATTGGTTTTCAGTCCATTCCTATGGGAAATTTTGCTTCAACTTAAGAACGTTTCAACTTAAGAACACCATTCCAAAATGGATTAAGTTCTTAAGTAGAGACCCCACTGTAAATGATAATTTGCCAATGGCATAAACATGAAAATACATAACGCTTCCTAGAAACCAAAGACAGTTAGGGAAGAAAAGATTTCTGTTTAAAACTTACTTTTTGCTTGCTTCACAGACATCAGCAATATTGGAAAACAGGTGGTGGCTTTCTGTCTTGGTCATTGTAGAAGCTAACTCTTTAGAGTTTTTAAACATCCGGATCAGAATTTCCAGGCTGAGTAAGTATGAATGTTCCGAAGAAATTACTTCAAATATAGCCTGCACATAGAGAGCAGAAAGGAAAGAAGACACACTTAAGTGATTCTTAAGGCTTTATGTAACAATATATCTTCATAATGGACATTTTGAACTCAACAGTAGATCACACTGCAAACTTCTCATACTTGCAAAATGTATTTTAAAGCTCCATATGACAGATATATGAGGATCACACATACAGGATCCAACATGTATAATCAGCACATGCACTTTTCAATATAATACTGTCAGGAGCCAAGATAAGTATGTCTCTGTAAAACATCATTATGCAATGAAAGAAACCCATATTGATATGTTGCCCATTAAAAGACTTTCTACAAAAGCATGCTGAATGTATAACAAGGGAAGCTGACCTTAGGGACTACAGTGGTGAGAGTAATACCTCTGAATTTGAAAGAACCAGTTTCCAACCTCTACTTAGCCATGAAGCTCACCAGATAACAACATCAAAAAGTCACTGTGGGCCAATTTTACTTGAATCTCTTGCATGAATCATGTTGCGTATGAAGCTGAGAACTAATATTATGCCTGAAGAATCAGATTCCGGCTTCAGGTCTTATTTGTAAGCAGTACTTAACTCAAGGTTTCTCAAGTTTGGGTGTAACAGGACTGCACAAACGCAAACACATATACACATGAGGCTTAGTGTTCATTCTTGGCTTAATAAAACATGGTTTATGAGCCCAGGGTTGCTGCATTTGAACTAGGCCAGTTTCTAAAGCTTTCAAAGATGTGTTGCAAGAATAAAACTGGTGATAATTGTGAAGCACTTGTAACATTAAAATTGCTTTAGAAGCTGGGACAGGAATTAAATAGTTCTTTTCCAAATAAATGTCTGGTTTTGGTAATCTAGGCACTATCAATGGTGTTTACAATAAAAATAGCAATGATATTTTTGTTTTGAAACACAGAAATAAAAGAGAAATTAATTGTTCTTGTTGTGAGACCCTGTTTAAGCAACCCCAACCCTCATTAAAGAAAAGTCTTTCATAACATGAAAAGCTGGATAAAGCTTTAGTCTTGAAAAAAAAGTGGAAACTGAGAAGCAGCTGTGCCAGATCCTTCTACAAAAGGTCAGCTGGCTGAAAAGGGGGAAAAAAGATCTCTAGAATGTACATAAAACCTCCCACGCAAGGCTTGCAACTCTGATTTCTTTATTCAGTCTGTCAAATTCTGCACAAAAAAATATCAAGCACCTTCCCCTGATTTTTCAACTTCAGCTAGTTTTACAGCTAAAGCAGAGTGCCTAAAAGGTTTGATTCAGGCATTACTCATTTATAGTATAGTATGCACATGGTGTTTCACAGAGTACCAGAGTGGAGATCTACAATATAAAATGTGTTACATGGGATAGGAAAAAGAGAGAGAATGCGCGGTAGATGCAGGAAAATATGTGATGGCTTCAATTGCACATTCTCACTGAAATCCTGTTGCTTAGCATCAGCTGACAGGATTTGTGAATCAGATCCTCTATAAGTTCCTTTGATTCAAATGGGCCTCCTTCAGCTCCAGGCAGTTTCTTGACCAGTCATTTAGTAAAAGCAAAGTATGTGCGTGGGTGTGTGGGTATATTATTTCATGATATTGGCCAATTGAACACTTCCTCTGCTCCTTGGGGCAGGGGCAAATATATATATGCCCCTTCCCCAAGGAGCAGAGGAAGTGTTGAACTGGCCAATACCATGAAACTACTTGCTTATTAAGCCAATTCAAAATATCAGAAATTCCCACCTGAAGGAGTCTTGACAGCTCGAAAGATGACTGGAAACAAGATTGTTTCCAGCAATCATGCAATGGACCAAAGCAATCCTGCTAAAAAAGAAGTCCCTCACAGTGACTCAGAAAGGTGGAAGTAAGAACACTCTCAGGACAATTTGTTTTGCTCCAACAATTACGTCATGTGACTGCTGGAAAATGGAGCAAAACCAAGCCATCCCAGCAATGACCCAAATAGTGGGCTAAATGCCCATCTGATCATACATCCTATGTTGACTGTATTGACATAAATGATATATCTAGTTCTTATGCATACACTGTAGGCTTTTGCACACTCTTAAATGATTTTATTGACATCTTTCAGTTACCTAGGAGTCTGAAATACACTACACAGTGACGATAAATTGGATAAGCAATGGAAGATTTTGTTGAGAACAGGATTTGCCTAAAGAGAGGAGCGGAGTTCTGTGAGTTGCTTTTTTTGTGCATTTTTGTTCAGAGAACGGACAGTAGAGCCCTGAATTTAGGATTCTTTGTTCCCAGTTTTGATGAAAAGCTCTCATTGATCCTTCCTTGCTGAGAAACCCTGAGCTATCCCTATCAGTTTTGAAAGCAAAAATGAGATATGGATTGGCCACTTACATTTTGCTAGAAGCCAAACATATAATTCCAATGGATTTCTGCACTTGAAAAGACTAGTGGAAAACAACAAAACAAGGAATGTTTTGAACTCACGTATAATCCAGTGACACTAACCGGAGACAATGAATGTCAACATATTTGCCAATTACTATTTCTTTCTCAAGACAAAGGATAATCCCTTGAGCGAGAGTATGAAATTAGTTCAAATTTATTTGTATGGCATCAGTGCAAGCAGATGTCTGAAGCTCCCTAGCTTATGAATACAGTGGTGCCTCAACTTACGAACGTCCCAATTTACGACCATTTCCAGTTATGACCAGCTCCGGCTGCAAAATTTTGCTTCGACTTGTGACTGGAGCTTTGAGTTATGACTGGAATAAAGGTGGGGGGAAAGGCGGGGAATTCAAATGTACTAACCGTCGGTCGGAGAAGAGGCTGCTTCTTTGTAGCTCTTTCACCCCAACGGTTAGAGAGTGTGCATCGGAGGAGGCTTCGGACTGCCTGGTGCTGCTTTCTGCTTGAGTGGGTTTTGCAGGGTGGGTTTGGGTTGGAGGGGGTTATGTTTCTGTGCTGTGTGTTGTTGTTTTTTTGTGATTTTTCTTTTTATGGCCAGAATGGATTAATGGGGTTTCAATGCATTCCTATGGGAAATGGTGCTTCAACCTACGACCATTTCAAGTTACAACCATCATTCCGGAATGGATTAAGTTCAAGGCACCACTGTATTTGGTGGAATTACTTTATTCAGAGACCAAATGTGGACCAAAGCTTTGCATGTGCCTCTTGGAAAAGCAGACACATTCAAAGGCAAAATCTCACAGCAGTTTAAAGAGAATGAGTAAAAAGATGTCTTACTAATATTAGTATTTACAACAGCCTATTCATTTTTCACTGCTTAGTGCATATGAATTTATACACTGTGACTCTGCACAACAACAGATACAGTCCATGATGGACCATTTTGTCTTTTTTGAAACTTCACTTAATAATGTCATCATCTGTCCCCTTCGACATACGTCTTTAAGCATTTTTTACAGTTTCTGGAGCTTAAACAAAACATTCATCTTACTATCACAGGTATATCTTCTTCTGTCTGTAGGAAACTGAACATTGAGAGTACATTCTGGACATACTGAAAGAAGACGCTTTCAACATCTCAATGGTATGCACTTGGCTAAAGTTAGTGAAAAGATCTCAAGCCCTGCATAATTCTCACTTGTTCTTAGCTACCATTCTTCCACATTAGTACACAAAAGAAAATATTTTAATCCTTTTTTATCTCAAAGCATTTTCTTTTCAATTTCTTTATCTACTAAAGATACTACTAAACATTCCACAAGTCTCCTATCTTTCCCATTTAACAGTCTCACTTGTGAACAGAGTGGCCTTACTCTTTAATTAGTAGAATCTAGTACATGCTTTTCATATGAATAATCTCCCTTTCAGTGTTCACTACACTGATTTTATGCAGCTTAAATGTATGATTTCACTTGTACTTTAAAGTATCTTTTAGTTCTTCTTTATGGTCTTTTACTAAATTGGCAGGACTGATATGAGGGATAACTCTCTTCAGGTGTAGTTCATCCCCGAAGAAGCAGAAAGAGATTATACACATTCATCAAGTGTATAGCTGAAGCCTTTAGAGCAGTTCTTTAGATCTGTTATTGAATTGCAATTCCCAGAAGCCTTCACCACCAGCTATGTTGGCCAAGGTTTCTGGGAGATGAAGTCCAAGAACACTTGGGTTATCCAAAGTTGGGAACCACTTATTTTGAGGACTGATGAGGAGAATGCAGAATACTTCTTAGGGTTGCTCCTCATGTCATAAGGATATAGGATGGGATTTGTGGAAGACGGGTATTTTCTCCTATTTTCCTGCATTCCATTTCACAAACTCCTATATAAAAATGTGGTAAATGAAGAGGAAAACGTCAGATACAGAATGGGTGGTTTAGAGGAGAAACTGGCAAAAGATATATCTTCTCTACAGTACTTTGTATGGGTGGTTATCTCCACTAGATGGACAATTGTTCTGATGATGGAAGCAGCTCTCTCTTTCATATGAGTTGAATACAACTCTCACAGTGTTTTTAACAGTCAAACCCATAGCTGAACATTTTGACATGTTACATTTATAGTTCATAAATGGAACAAAATGAAAGAATCAGAGAATAATTGAGTTGAAAGAGGCCTATGTGGTCATCAAGTCCAATCTACAAACAATACAAGTTACCCATAAGGCTACTCCTGCATATTGTGTTACTACGTTCACACAATACATAAGGTGGCAAGAGTCCCAAAGATCCCAAGATCTGCCACAATATGACCCATAGGACATTTCTGTAGCAGCCAGAAATGCTATACATATGCTTGCCCTTTACATAAACCTTCTGTACTGCTAACTCGTTTTATTCTAGATAAATTGCATAGCCCCAGGAAGATTGGATAAAAAGGAAGCTCCATTATACTTAGATTCTGAGAAACAGAATAGAAAAGAAACAAAATGTATTGAACTTGTCCTCCTGAAAGCTGAAAAGTACAAGATTTACTCTAATGAATAAACGAAGCATATAATCATTAATATACCTCTTGTCTTTTTCTTTCTTCTTGGCTGATGGTCTGGAATAAGCTGTTCCTCTTCACCTGGAATAATCATGAATATGTTTGTGACACTTAAAAAGATGGGCACATTTTATCTAATTTTTAAATTCTTTTTTTATAATTAGTGATTTGTTAAGATCTTAACTGGGTGGGTTAAATTCAGAGGGATAACTTACATCCTGCTGATTTAAATGGAATGCAAGTTTACATATTATAGATCCATCCCAATATCTAGAACAGATCTGGACAACTCTGGCAAGTTCACAACCCGTTTTTTGCCCTGGGGCCTTGCATGAGCCAGAAGAACCACACACATGCACAACACACACAGAGAGAGGAAAAATATAACTCAAATGACTAAAAGTCCACTTTGGATGTTGAAGGACTGTTAGAGGATCCTTGTGACCATTTAAAAGATGAACTGTTGCTCCTGGGGTCTTCTAGGACCAGCAATTCTCTTTTTCGCTGGGGATACCTTTTTATCCATCCATCCATCCATCCATCCATCCATCCATCCGTCCATCCATTTATGGCAATGTGGGTCAGTAGTTGAGGCTGGGGGCTACAGAAGCAGCCCTAGGAGGCCACATGCAGTCCCAGCAAAACACCTTGCACATTACAGATGTAGACAAATGATACCAAATAATATGTCAGTTATAATTAAAATTAAAACAGTATTAACACATATTGTATCTATTCTAAATTCATTTCATTTCCACATTTTGCCATGTGTTTTTAAATTATTTAGTAATCAAGTTAGCAAACAGGAGCCTCGTGGCACAGTGGTTAAACTGCTGTACTACAGCCAAAACTATGCTCACCGCCCAAGGTTCAATCCCAGGTAGCCTACTCAAGGTTGACTCTGCCTTCTATCCTTCCAAGGTTGAGTAACCAGGTCCCAGGGGTGGGTGGGTGGCAGCAACGTGTAGCCTGCATAATTAACTTGTAAACCGCCCAGAGAATACTTTAAGCACTATGGGGCAGTATATAAGCAACACGCTTTGCTTTTAAACTTCTTGTAAGATACAAAACATTTGCTCCTATGTTTTCTACAATAAGACAGGAAATACTTAGAAATATTGTATCTGCTGATTATCTCTCTGCTGATCCAGCTGGTATGCTGGAATAGAAAGCAATTTCAGAATGCTAGTCAGCCAGGCCAAGATGTCCAAACACTAGCTGAATTAATATTAGGCTAATTTACACTGTATTTAATCCAAATGTTGCCCAATGTAGGGATGCAGAAAATTAAGTCCTAAATCTGTGCTGACAGAGGTTGCCCTCACTTAACTCTAAGGTTATTTCCCTGAGTTGGGGGAACTCAGGATCTCATGTAACTTGGCTCCTTCCTTACCCTGCCACTTTTGCGCCTCTTTTGACAGCAGACTTCAGGCAAAACAGTTCTGTTGACAGGTCCCATAGCCAACAAAGCAGTTCTGCCACTAAAAGGGCATTTCTAGCAGAAAAGTCTTAAGCCTAAATCTTGAGTCTTACTCAAGGATCTCCTTAAGAACAGATTAAGCAACTTATTGGTGCCTCAAGATCTAGTTTTGGCCACAGGCCAAAGTTGCCAATCTGCTCTCAACCCCATCCAGATACAGATCAAATGCCAACTCAATAGCTTTGTGGACCACTTACCAACCTCACTGCTCATTTTGGCTGGATTAAGTGGTCTGTTAGCTGCCCATCTAGCCCACATTAACTCCAAACAGCTATTCAAGACATTTACTGTTATAACAAGGTTAGATTTTAGAAAAGGGAAATAGAATTGGTTGTTATCTATTATTCATGATGCATCACTCATGCCCAAAAGGTCCTCCCTGGCAATTTCATGTAAATATTAAAATTATGTGGGTAATAACATAATGTCTTGTAGAATGATAAATGCAAAGCTGTGGGGCAACAGTCCCCAACAGCATCATTCAGAATCTGCTGGTCATGAAGCGGTGGAATCTCCAGAGCGTGGTATTTTCAAATCCCAATCTAGACAAGTAATTCAATGGATTACTACATCGTTCAGAGTGGGTGGAATACAAATCAAGTTTTTTTTTCAAATTCAGACTGATTTAATCACAATGTAAATTTAAACAACTGATTTTTAAATTTACATTGTAAAAAATAATAATCAAATTTTAAGTTTGAATCAATTTAGATCATAGTGATTCATAGTGTCATGGTCACAAAGAAGTCCAGGACAATCAACCTCCTTGTATATCTCTTGGTGGAGATAATCCAATAGGGTCACTACAGGACTTTCAGCCCCTAAACCAAGGCAGATGCAACACTGCCTTAATGCATTCCAATCAGGAATGTCCAGAGTTAAGCCATAATACAGTGTTCCAATACAAATTTTCAAACCACCATATTGTAGCTTGACTGCACAAATAGCATTTTGAACAGGCTAAGACCACAACTAGATACAAACTAAAATTATTGGCCGATTAATCATTGGGTCTAAGTAGAACAATGGCCATTTTTCATAAGGTAAAAATATTTATACAGAGTATTTTTTTTGTTTCCATGAATGGTGATATTCATTGTATTTATTTTAAAACTGGGCTTACTAAAATACTAAACTCTACATGTTTGCTCCTCATTCTCCTGCTTCCTATCCCTCTATTTTCACAAATTTTACAGCGGAAAAGAAATTTAGGATTCTTGTAGTGCTTGCCTGCAATGTGAATATACTTCAGAGTATCTTTTTCCCCCTATTACATCCTGAGATGAAAGGCCAGAACATTTACTTTGTTTAGGCACACTACCGAATGCCAAAGTGTTCTTGAATCTGTGCCAACAAGAGTGTTCTGCCAGCAACTTTCCCTTTCCTATCCAGGCTGAAAAAAGGAAATAAGTATCCGTAATTCCAAAGAAATCCCAAAATAAGAATTCTGCCTGAATACACAAACTTAATTGAAAAATTAAATTAATTTAAAATTAAGGACATAAAACCACACAGATAAAACTGTCAGTATTAGGTCTCCTATTTCTTTGTCTGGTGCACAAACGCCCTGTGATTTGTTTACACAGATGTACATTTATTTTACATAAAGCTAATACACTGTACTTCACTAAGAGGTTATTCAAGATTACAAATAAAAGCATGCCACAGTCATTTCATAATGTCTGAAATAAATGCAGTATTATTGTAGTGAAGAAAATCCACATGAATAATGAATACAGAAAGACCTAGCATCTGATGCTAAACTTAGTACAGAAGGAGTAGGTGAGTAGATGAAAACAACAACCATGAATTACGACAGAATATGAAACAGCCTCTTACAAGGCAACACAGGCTGTCCAACTTTAACTCTCTCTGTGCCCAATTACATTCTAATTTGAGATGAAGTTTCAGGTAAGATGCTCTCAATAGACATGACTCCTTGAGTAGTCAATCTTAAGAGCACAGAGATGTTTTTGTTTCTTTGTTTTTTTAACACAATTCCCTGACTTTCCCAACCAGCATGGCTCCTGAATGTGCAAACTAAGAATACATAGGTACATTTTGGAAGCTGCAGTCTGAAAATAAAACAACTTTTCCAAGACACTGCTCCCTGGATGTGCCACCCTTTCGTAACTACAATTGGCTTGCCTTGTCCCCTTGGAGAAACACAACTGACACCCACCAGGAAAGGGCAAAGCCAGTGAAAGCTGCAACTCCTTCTCTTTGTGCTTGTCCCAGATTGCATGGCTGCAGAAGGCCAGAGAAGAGGCAGCAAGAAAGTTCTGCAGTCTCTGTAAAAGTCCCCTTGCCTGGGCAACAACCCACTCCCCACCTGTAGAAACTGTTAATTTATGGTGTTAGCTGTGACCCTTTAAGACCTTAAAAGCCTGAGACCTGAACATTTCTTAAATGTACAAACCTGACCTAGCTAATTAATAAAGAGCAATAAAGGATATGTTCAATTACCTATTACAGTACTTCTAGGGAGACAAGGCCAGTAAATAGAAGAAACATTGAAATTTCAAACAAACAAACAAACAAACAAAAACTCAAGGTTCTGGAATGACATTTATATAGAGGCATGCCAGTTACTTCCCTGTTAAGATATATTCTGGGTATTCTGTAAAGCCAACTTTATTAATCAAAGCATTGACTACTCAAGTTTCTTACACTCTTAGGGGTTTTAAAAAATAATACATTACCACTATATCATTATTTTATTTCTGCTTTAATGCCACTGGACTTCATTTTGTTTATAGCTCCCATTTTTAAGTTGTATACTTCCAGACTACTCTTATTCTTATTTCAGCAAGGTGCCTTGAGCAGAGGTAGAGGTAGGAAATGCATCAAATGTGTGTTTGTTTAAAAATAATCAAATTGGGTTAGAGCCTGAAAACATTAGTGAAGATAAATTAAAGGCTGTCATTGAAGTTCTAGTCATGTCTCATCAGAAACATGTTCCACTCAGTTTAAGCAAGGCGTTATTGTTGTTGTTTAGTCGTTTAGTCATGCCCAACTCTTCATGACCCCATGGACCAGAGCACGCCAGGGCCTCCTGTCTTCCACTGCCTCCCAGAGTTGGGTCAAATTCATGTTGGTAGCTTTGATGACACTGTCCAACCATCTCATCCTCTGTCATCTGCTTCTCCTCTTGCCTTTGCACTTTCCTAACATCAGCGTCTTTTCCAGGGAGTCTTCTCTTCTCAGGAGATGGCCAAAGTATTAGAGCCTCAGCTTCAGGATCTGTCCTTCCAGTGAGCACTCAAGGTTGATTTCCTTCAGAATGGACCTGTTTGTTCTCCTTGCAGTCCAGGGGATTCTCAAGAGCCTCCTCCAGCACCACAATTCAAAAGCATCAATTCTTCAGCAGTCAGCTTTCTTTATGGTCCAGCTATCACTTCCATACATCACTACAGGAAAAAACCATAGCTTTGCGTATTTGAACTTTTGTTCACAAGGTGATGTCTCTGCTTTTTAAGATGCTCCCAAGAAGCAGGCCTCTTTTAATTTCGTGGCTGCTGTTACCATTTATATTGATCATGGAACCTAAGAAAGTAAAATCTGTCACTGTCTCCATATCTTCACCTTCTATTTGCCAGGA